TCTGCAGCGAAATGATGCTAATAATCAATCAATAAATTCAGCATGTTTCCTCATGGGCACGAATGTGTTTGTTCATAATGAAAATGTATAAGATTCTCATTTGGAACTAGCCTGTACAGCCGCGTCGCATTGCAGCGCGACATTGTTAGGGGTAAGCCCCGCCCTGCTCTGTATTGAGAATAGACAAGCATCAAATTTAAGATCTTTTTTTGGTGTAGTTCAAAGATGAGGAGTTACGCAGAAAAAAGAAAATATTCAAATGAGATAAAGCGGCTTTGCAAACTAACTCGCAAATGAGAGTAAGCAAACATTACATACCTCTTATCAACGACAAGGCAGCTGATAAAAGGAAATTAATACTGCAGCGACCGGTAGTAAATACCGATTATCCAGTTGTTCAATGCAAGAGTTTCTCGACCTGTATGTCCCCCGTGCCATCAATGAGGAGAATCATGGATCGATACTCATGCGCATTTTCTTCAAAGTTACGACCAGGGTTGTAAAGGCCGTCGTTTGTTGGCATGACCGATCGTCTTGTTGACGACGTTTTCCCGATCGCGCAACGGGAAATTTCCCACGCACATCGGGATCGTTGGTCGTGGGCAGTCATATGTTCCGATTTCTCTGTTGACTTCTTTGCTTTTGCAGCAGTTTTTTTGGTCAGAGTAGATTACGCCCGTTTGATCTACATCCGTCCAATTGCTGTCCTTTCGTTCTTTTGTTATCAAAGCACTATCTTTATTGTCAGTGTTGCACTATACAAAATGTTTATGGCTCCTGTAACGAAAACCTGTTCCCTGTCAACCATCTGTCGATTAACCTTCTACCACTCTTGCTATATAAACAGTGCAGTTATAATATTTCTTTTGCATTTTTCATCTCAGTTGGTGGTAACTAGAGCTCATTGGGCAGTAAAGATCTTGTATTAATATACTAATTTGCTATTTACGAGAATTGGATCGAGGCTGTGTAATCTACGTGATTATCCATTGACAAAAAATATTTGGCTCGTTTATTCACCATTTGCTTTGAGGCTAACAGAGTTTGCCTTCGTTAGACTTAGTGTGTATTATGCAACCACACTATCTGCGTAGAAAAAACCGCTTAATCTATCAAGAGCGGTTTTCTATGCTTTTATTTGCTTTTTTGGGAGCAAAAAATTGGAAGAAAATGAAGATAAATTTTTTAGTCCTATTTTTTGATGAGTTTCCTAGCTTGGACATCTGCACCATTTTTTTTGTATGTTTCCTCCTTTTGAGAAAAGAGTAGGGAAAACACGGAACGCAGTAGGTTAT